GACTGACGCCTGGCATGCAGAGTTTGGCGACGAGGCTGAGACCCCCCACTGGCTTGAGCTGCTTAGGTCGGGCGCTGATGTCTTTGCTTTGGACTATGACGCCATCCTTACTGCCATGTCTGCTTTGCCTGGTGGTGCTGAGAGTGACTGTTACCTCTGTGTGTAGTACGACCCCAGTATAGAGGTTGCTGCTCTAGGTGCTAGTGAGGCTGCTGCGTTGGGTGCTGGTGAGTCTGCTCTCTCAGGTACTGCGCCTGCTGAGGCCTTGCACACCTTCACGCTTGACTCAGGTGCTTCCCGCTGCTTCGTCCGTGACATTTCCGCACTCACACCACTCCCTGCACCTGTTGCAGTCTCTCTGGCTGACCCCTCAGGGGGCCCAGTTCTTGCACGGTCCACCACTGTGCTACTGTGCCCGGCGTTTCCGTCTTGCTCACTATCAGGTCTCCACCTCCCTTCGTTCTCGACGAACTTGGTGAGCAACGCCGTCCTCCAGGATCATTGGGTTGACACCTTTACCCCTGGAGGACAGCGTGTGGCGATCTATACGTGCTCCAAGACTGAACGTCACCTGGCCACGTTCACCCGTCGGCCATGGTCGAGTCTTTACACACTGACGACTGTGTCTCCTAACGTAGCTGTTGTCGGTCAGGTGTCTGCGTCAGGTCTAGTAGCCTCCCCTTGTGAGTGTCGCTCCCTATCACACCAGACTCTTCTCTAGCACCACCGCCTGTGTCACCCCTCCTTGCCACGTCTCCATGGCATGCACCGATGTCTCCTTGTGTCTGGTCTTCCCAGGTCTCTCCCTCCCCTCCCTGCCTCCCCTGTGCCGCCCTGCCTTCCTTGTGTCGAGGGGCGGCTGCGCCCACCCTCACTCCTCCTCATTTCCCCCGACAGAAGCTCCTCTGCAGACCCTCCACATGGACGTGTGGGGCCCAGCCCGCGTTCGTGGATAGGGCGGTGAGAGGTACTTTCTGCTGGTTGTCGACAACTTCTCGCGTTACACCACGGTCTTCCCCTTGTGCACCAAGGGTGAGGTCCCTGCTGTCCTGATCCCTTGGCTCCGAGCAGTTTGTCTTCAGCTCCGCCGGAGGTTCCACCAGGACCATCCAATCCTGCGTCTGCACTCTGACAGAGGTGGTGAGTTCACCTCGGACCTCTTGCGGGCCTTCTGTTAGGGGGAGGGCATCGAGCACTCGTTCACGCTTCCGGGCTCACCGCAGCAAAATAGGGTTGCTGAGCGCCGCATTGGCTTAGTCATGGAGGTCGGTCGTACCTCCTTGATCCATGCGGCGACTCCCCATCTTCTGTGGCCGTTTGCGGTCCGGTACGCCGCGCAACAGCTCAACCTCTGGCCCCGTGTCTCCTTGCCGGAAACCTTGCCCACACTGCGTTGGACGGGGGAGGTTGGCGATGCGTCGCGCTTCTGGGTTTGCGGTGCTTGTGCCCTTGTCCGCGATACGTCTGCGGACAAGCTCTCCTCCCGCACCATTTCATGTGTCTTCCTTGGTTTTGTCCCTGACGCGCATGGCTGGCAATTCTACCACCCCACCTCACGCAGTGTCCTTCCCTCTCATGACGTCACCTTTGACTAGTCGGTTCCTTTCTACCGTCTCTTCCCCTACCGCACTGCCCCTCTCCCTCCCCCGCTGCTTTTCCTTGCTCCAGGTCCCCCTCCGGTAGACCCCCTCCCCCCTCAGGGTCCTGCTCCTTCAGGTGTGTCTCAGGTAGACCCGCCCCCCGTGGCTGAGCCTGTAAAGGTCACTAGCGACTCAGGAACTGCTGCGGGAGGGGCTGCTAGGGGTGCTGCGTCTGGGGGTGCTGAGCCCGCGTATGAGGTGCTGGGGAGTGCGGAGCCTGGGGATGCTGAGCCTACGGCTGCGGAGTCTGGGAATGCTGAGCCGGAGGGTGCCGGGTCGGAGGGTGCTGAGTCTGCTGCCGTTCCTCTGGGTCTCGTTTCACGACGCGACCATGTCTCACCACAGCAGGCACGAGAGTAGCTTGCGTCGCGTACCCGCCTGAGGAGTCGTGCTACTGGAGCTGCTTGTCGTGGAGGCGCTGGGAGTGTTGGTGTCTCTGATCCTAGAGGTGCTCGTACTGGAGGTACTGGAGCTGCCGGGACTGGTACTGCTCCTGGAGTTGGAGGTGTCGGCTCTGGGGGTGCTGCTGCTGGCGGTTGGCGCTGGTGTTGGTTCCTGGTGCTGGCGGCTGGCGCTGGTGCTGGTACCTGGTGCTGGCCGCTGGCGCTGGTGCTGGTTCCTGGTGCTGGCAGCTGGTGCTGGTGCTAGTTCCTGATGCTGGTGATGGTACTGGTTCCTGGCGCTGGTGCTGGTGCCTGGTGTTGGTTCCTGGTGCTGGCGCGGGTCTGCTGGTTCGTTTACTGGCGGGCTTGCGGGTCGTGGACGATCTGTGGCATGCAGTGGTGGAGCAGCAGCTTCTCCCGCCACTCCCGCCACGCTTGCCATGCCCTCCACTCCCGCCACGCCCGCCATTCCCGCCACTCCCAACGCCCCCGCCACTTCCGCCACTCCCTTCACAGCAGCTGCGAAGTCGACGGGAGGGCGGGCGGGGAAGAGGTGTGACTGGCGGATGCTGGAACTGGCGGCCGCCACTCCCTTCCCCCTTTCCTCTTCGCCCCCACTGCGCCCGTCGCTGTTTCTGCGCCACGGAGCCGCGACGAGGCAGCGTGACGGCGGCGAGTCCATTGACGGGCTCGCCTGCGGGCCCGTTGGCGGGTTCGTCGGCGGGCGTGCTCACACCGCGCTGGCGGGTCCGTCGGTGGGCTTGCTGTCGCTCTCGTTGGCGGGTCCCACGGCGGGTCCGTCGGCGGGTTTGCTGGCGGGTCCGTCGGCGGGCTTGCTGGCACTCTCGTTGGCGGAACTGACGGCGGGTCCGTCGGCGGGTTTGCTGGTGGGTCCGTCGGCGTGCTTGCTGGCGGGTCCGATCTTGGCGTTCCTGGTGCGTTCCTTGCGTGCGCGGTGGCGTGCATTGCTGGTAGTGCGCGGGCGACGGGCGGAAAACGGGAAAGTGCTCACGAGGCGCACTAAGGGGTGCGCCATTGCGAGCGCTAATGGTGGGCCCATTTGAAAACGGTCCCAATTGGACCTAGCTCTATACCATGTTACGATACGGTCTGAACGTAGGAACCGGGTTTAAGGAGGGCCTAGGGTTAGTAGCCTAGGCCAAGCAAGTGTCGAGGTCAAGGCCAAGGGAGTGTCGAGAGAAATTGACCAAACAAGTTAGCTTCTCTAAAGCAAAGCATACAAGATATAGTCGAGATACACAAACAAGGGGTGCACCACTAACAGCAAAGAATAATAACTACAGGAACTACAGCAAGTAGGATAAATCTCAAATATAACTTTGACATCTGGAGCTGCTGGAGGAGCTGGAGCTGGAGGTGCTGCTGCAGGAGTCACTGGAGCTGGAGGTGCTGCTGCTGGAGGCGCTGGAGCTAGAGGTTCTGGAGCTTCTAGAGGCGCTGGAGTTGGAGGTGCTGCTGCTGGAGTCACTGGAGCTGGAGGTGCTGCTGCTGGAGGCCTTGGGGCTGGAGGTTCTGGAGCTGCTGGAGGCGCTGGAGCTACTAGCACAGGTGGGACTGCACCCCCGCAAGTGTTTTTTCGCTCCGCCGTCACCGTCGTCTTTGCCACCGCCTGACTCTGTGCTTCGCTAGGTTCTTAGGCTCTCGTCTTCTACTGGCCTCCCCTTACAGCCCGGCGCACCACTGCCTGCTCCTTCTCCTTACAATGAGTAAACAGACTCGCTTACACGGCGCCGTGAGCCTGCGTCTCGTCCTGCCTCGCCTGTTCGCGCGCGTCTCACTGGTAGTCATGTTCCTTGTGAGCGTCCACCTCCTGTCCCTGGCACGCACGCTATGGCACTTCGTCCTTCCTCTGTTCCACAGCGTGTTCCCCTGCCGTCTGCTCCTGCATCTTCTCTGCCTGACGTTAAGGACCCTGAGTCTGACCTCGTTCGTGCTGCTCACCCTACTGTCATGCGTCTGCTAGCCACACTTGTCACTGACACGTCGTCTGAGTCTGCTACTGCGTCTGCCTTAGTCTCTGAGCTTGTTGACTTTGCTGCTGCCTGTCATCTAGACTTCGCTGCTAGTCTTGTTGCTAAGACTAAGTCTGTCTGTCCTCCGTCCGTCGGGGGTGAGTGTGCTCTTGGCACGGACGTCCTTGAGGACAGGCAGGAGGACCTTGAGTGTCTTGCAGCCGCTGCGCCTCATCTCGTGGCCATGCTGCTTGCCCCTAAGGGAGACCCGGATGCTCCAGACATCCCGACCCCGTGCTCTTACGCTGAGGCAATCCCGGGTGAGTACTCCTCTCAGTAGCAGACAGCCATAGACGCAAAGATGGCATCATGGAAACCCACACACACTTACGTCGACGCAGTTCCCCCTCCTAGAGCGAACGTAGTCGATGGCATGTGGATTCTCAAGGTGAAGCGGCCGCCGGGTTCTCCGCCTGTCTTCAAGGCTCGTTATGTTGCACGAGGCTTCAGTCATCGACAGGGAGTTGACTTCTTCCAGACCTTCTCCCCCACCCCGAAGATGACCACTCTTCGGGTGCCGCTGCACGTTGCCGCTCAGCGTGACTACGAGCTTCACTATCTGGACTTCAACACAGCGTTCTTACAGGGCAGTCTGCACGAGGAGATCTGGCAGCGCCGCCCACCTGGCTTCACTGGGTCGTTCCGTCTTGGTACCCAGTAGAGCCTCCGCCGGCCAGTCTACGGTCTCCGTCAGGCGCCTTGTGAGTGGCACGACACACTGAGGACGACACTTGCGGCTCTTGGGTTTGCACCTTCGACTGCTGACCTGTCGTTGTTTCTGTGCACCGACACTTCGTTGCCACCATTCTACATTCTCATGTACATCGACGACTTGGTCTTTGCCACTGCTGACACTGAGGCTCTCGCCCTTGTGAAGTCGGAGCTGCAGAAGAGACACACGTGCACAGACTTGGGTGAGCTGCGCAGCTACCTTGGTCTGCAAATCACTCGGGACAGAGCACGGCCCACCATTACCCTGACTCAGTCACACATGGTGCAGCAGGTCCTTCAGCGGTTCGGCTTCACTTGGTCCTCGCCATAGTCCACTCCCCTGGCTACAAGTCACTCGCTCTCAGCTCCACCTTCGGACGAGTTCGTATAGCCAAGTGGTCCGTACCCAGAGCTAGTGGGCTGCCTCATGTACCTGATGACCTGCACTCGTCCTTACCTTGCGTACCCTCTTGGCCTTCTGGCACGCTACGTGGCTTCTGGTAGGAACCGAAAGGTGCACTTCGATGATGCGAAGAGGGTACTGCGCTACTTGTGCAGTACATCGGGCATGGGGCTCGTGCTTGGAGGGCGGAGTTCAGTTGTTCTCACTGGGCACTCAGACGCTTCTTGGGTTGACGACCTGGCTACGCAGCGGTCGTCACAGGGTTACACCTTCAGCCTTGGCTCTGGCTCTGTTTCTTGGCGGTCTACACGCTCGTCTCCTGTTATCAGCCCCAGCAACGAGCTTGACGGCGATGGTGAGGTGCTTGCGCTGCTCCGTGGAGAGCCCATTGACCCCCGGCAACCCCACCATGGCGTCGCGCAGACTATCAAACTCCACTAGTTCCATCACCTCCTCCACAAACTCTTCTCTGACTTCCTTGTCAACATCAGCCGGTAGGCGCAGCCACGCGGAGAAGAGCAGGCTCTCGTGCACCGTCACCTGCGGTGTGTGAATCTCGCTCTGCTCGCAGAACCCTGCCACGTGAGCAAACTTCTCGTGCACCTTGGGGAACCCTGACACGCGCACGTCCCCCTCGATGTTCCCCCCGGTCTTCCTCCCCGCCAGCACGTCCATGAGCATCGTCTTGCCCGCGCCCGACACGCCCATTAGCGCTGTCAGCACCGCGGGGCGGAACGCGTCCGACACTTTGCGCAGCAGCTGCAGGCGCTCGTCGGGGGGGGGGGGGGGGGGGCTCCCTCGGCGGGCATGCCGACGAAGTAGCTGACGTTGTGGAAGGAGAGCGAGTGCGGCACGAATGGCAGCACCATGCCATGCTTGCCCCCGGTGGACTCGGCCTGGGACTCCACGTCTGGAAATGGGGGGCCAAAGAGGTGCGTGCAGCGGTTTTGAAGCTGATCCAAGACAGTCAACACCACTCACATTCACCTCTACCTAGATCTCTACAACCCCTTACCTTTGGCCCCTGTGTGGCTGGTGCAGTAGCGGTCCAAAGCGCTGCCTGCATCCTACCGAGTGGACCGCTTCCTGTTGCCGCCCGCTGCAACCACCACCTCGCCCGTCCGGGTGGTGTGCTTCGCCTCTATCTGCTCCTCCGACACCACCGGTTGGGGGCGGTCCCACGCTGCATTGACAAACAGTCAAAAGGGGGTTTAGGAGAGTGAGAGAGAGAGGGGTGAGAGGGCAGGAGAGAAGCAAGCAGTAACACGGAGGTGGCATGCTACGCCTCTATCTGCTCCTCCAACACCACTGGCTGGCGCAGATCCCACTCTCACACATGCAGGGAGAGGCGCACGGGAGAGAGAGACAGCAGCATAAGAGATTAAGGGCTCAGGATGAGTCGGTGTGTTGGGGTGAGTGGTAAGAGAGCAGAGGCTAGAGAGCAGGCAAGTGAGCAGGCAAGAGAGCAGGCAAGAGAGCAGGCAAGAGAGCTGGCAAGAGAGCAGGCAAGAGAGCAAGCAAGAGAGCACGCAAGAGAGCAGGCAAGAGAGAAGGCAAGAGAGCAGGCAAGAGAGCAGGCAAGAGAGCAGGCAAGAGAGAAGGCAAGAGAGCAGGCAAGAGAGCAGGCAAGAGAGCAGGCAAGAGAGAAGGCAAGAGAGCAAGCACAAGAGCAAGCAAGAGAGGCAGGCACGAGAGCAGGTACGAGAGCACGCAAGAGAGCACGCAAGAGAGCATGCAAGAGAGCACGCAAGAGAGCACGCAAGAGAGCAGGCAAGAGAGAAGGCAGGAGAGCAGGCAAGAGAGCAGGCAAGTGAGCAGGCAAGTGAGCAGGCAAGAGAGCAGGCAAGAGAGCAGGCAAGAGAGCAGAGTGGAGAATCACGGAGGGCATAGCAGTAGCACCACAAGAGTGGGAGCTTCACAGCTTATTGTTAAGAGAAGCAAGGGTGAGCAAGGTGAGGAGGTTGTGGGAGTAGGATGGAACCAGACAGATGAAACAAGGAGAGAAGGTGTTGAAAGCTTACGATCAAGATAAGCGAGCGTGGCAACAGTGAGGAGGTTGAAAAGCAGGATGTATCCAATAAGTGCAGCCACACCAATGCCGACCCACTTGTCATCCATTGGGATCGAGCGGCTCTCTAGAAACACCTGCCCCATTGTGGCCGTGGTGGGGAAGAGGGGACCTGCGGACTGCAGAGGGGGTACACACAAGGGTACACACAAGGAAGGGCGATGAGGAAACATGAGCAGCTCTCTAGCATATCATCAGGACCATGGTGGCCGAGAGGGAAATGCGTGGAGCTGCAGATTGCAATCAGGGCTGCAGGCGCACACATGGCTTGGCGCACATATGGCATGACTGCAAGCACACACATGACAAGCAATGACAGTAGAAAGAAGGGACATTTGGGCTAGACAATCACACGTGTGTGTGTGTGTGTGTGTGTGTGTGTGTGTGTGTGTTTGTGTGTGTGCGCGCATGTGTATATGCGCGCGCGCGTGCGCATGCCAACAGTTGGAAACAACGAGACAAACACTTATTACAGATGGGAACCCCACGTGCCAGCACTCGTAGCTGAGGGAATAGGAATCCCAGGAGCACTCACGACGTTCCTGCGGGGCGCGAGAAACTCGTTAACAGGGAGGGCGTTCTGCACGTACATGAGAGGCGAAATCCAATACGCCCAGATCCACACGTTGCTGATGTCGGCTGGAAGGGCCGTGGGGGGGGAGGAGGAGGGAAGGGGAGTAGTGAGAGGGCGAGGAGAGATTAAGGGGGCTTGCGGGCCGTACATAAATGGAGGTGATGGAAGGGGAGGACAGGGGCAACCGAGCTCTCCAAGCATGCGGTAACCAAGCCGGTCACCCAGCTCTTTACACACTCTAGTATTGGCCTGAGCGTGACAAAGCCAACATGCGGACCTTGACCATGCTGCGGCCCGCTGCTGCTCACAAGGGTATGTTCAAAGTGCACCTCACCCACCTTTATCGATGGCAAACCCACCAAGCAGGACAAGGAGAATGCCGGAATAGGAGCTAAAGGTGGTGGAGACCACCATGTTGCGCCCCGATGAAGGTCACCCCTCACTGCCGCGTCTCCGCAGCATGCACTCCCGTCTCCTTATCTCTGGCCTTCCCAGGTCCCTGCCCCCCCTCCCGCGCTCGCCTGCCCCCCTACGTTGAGGGGCGGCAGCGCGCCGCTCCTCACTCCTCGTTTCCTCCGACCACTGCTCATCTACAGACTCTCCACATGGACGTGTGGGGACCGGCCCTTGTCAGTGGGACGGACCAGGAGCGCTACTTCCTGCTGGTCGTTGACGACTACACGCGCTACACCACGGTCTTCCCCTTGCGCAGCAAGGTGGCCGTCAGCGGTGTTTTGATCCCCTGGATCCGCGCTACTCGTCACCAGCTGCGCGAGCGGTTTCGGCGGGACCTTCCGGTCTTGCGTCTGCACTCTAACAGGGGCGGTGAGTTCTCTTCCGGCCTCCTTGCAGAGTTCTGTCGAGACGAGGGCATCATCCAGACGTTCACGCTCCAAGCCTCTCCGAAGCAAAATGGGATTGCTGAGCGTCGCATTGGCTTGATCATGGAGGTTGCTCGTACCTCCATGATCCATGCGGTTGCTCTCCATTTTCTGTGGCCGTTCGCGGCATGATACGGTGCGCATCAGCTCAACCTCTGGCCCCGTGTCTCTTTGCCAGAGACCTCGCCCTCACTCCGTTGGACGGGAAAGGTTGGCGATACGTCGACGTTTCGGGTCTGGGGCGCACTCTCCCTTGTTCGCGATACCACCGCGAACAAGCTCTCTTCTTGCACTCTCCGCCGCGCCTTCTTGGGCTTCCCCACCAACGCCCCACCGTGGCAGTTTTACCACCCTCGCGAGCATCGTGTGCTCTCCTCCCAGGACGTCACCTTTGACGACTCGCTCTGTTTCTACAGGCTCCACCCGTACGCGTCCCACCCGGTCCCCCTCGCACCTCTCTTCCTGGCACCAGTTCCCCCCCGGGTATAACCCCTCCCCCCACAGGGTCCTGCTCCCTCAGGTGTGTCTTGGTTGAGCCTTGGGAGGTCTCTTCTGACTCGGGCCCGGCTGAGGGGGGTGACCTTGCCGTTGACGACACGGCGACCACTCGTCGCTCTCCACGCTTGGAGACCCCTCCTGGTTTTCGGCCTCGACCATCTTCACCACCTCTGCAGCCTGTAGCTGTGGACACTGGTGCTGCTGGGGGTGGTGACACTGGGGGTGAGGACGCAGGAGGTGCTGGTCCTGGGGTTGCTGAGACTGGGGGTACTGAGACTGGGGGTGCTGGTCCTGGGGGTGAGGGTTCTTGGGGTGCTGAGACTGGGGGTGCTGCGAGTCCTAGTGGTGGAGGGGCTGTGGGTGCTCCTACTGCAGATCCTGGTGTTGGACAACAGCAGCCACCTAGTCGACCCGAGACACCCTCACCCCAGCAGCTTCGTGAGTGGATCGTTCGGCGAGGCCGCTCTGATGCTGGAGCTTGAAGTTACCTCGACGCTGGAGCGGCTGGTGCTGGAGGTACTACTGGAGCTACTAGTGCTGGAGCTGGTGGTACTGGAGGTACTGGAGGTGCTGGAGCTGGTGGTACTGAAGGCACTAGAGGTGCTGGAGCTGCTAGTCCTGGAGGTGCTCGTACTAGAGGTATTGGAGCTGCCGAAGCTGATGGTACTGAAGGTACTGGAGGTGCTGGAGCTGCTGGTCATGGAGGTGCTCGTACTAGAGGTGCTGGAGCTGCCGGAGCTGGTGGTGGTGCTGGTGCTGAGGTGCTGAAGGTGCTACTGGAGGTGCTGGAGCTGGAGGTACTGGAGCTGCTGGAGCTGCTGACGGTATGGGTACTGTGCCGAGCCGACCGTTTTTCTACCCGCAGCCGCAGTTGTCCCTACCACCGCCTAACTCAACCCTTCGCCAGGTTCTTAGTTTCCTGTCTTCCACTGGTCTCACTCCACCTCTCCTGTGTCCACTGACAGACTAGTCTCAGCCATAGCTACTGCTTGGCTCCCCGCTGCCCGCTCCTACTCCTCAGAGTGAGGTGACTGAGTCCTTGACCGAGGGTCGTGAGCCTGAGACTCGTGCTTCCACACCTGATAGTGCTCGACTTGTCGCTCGTCCTTGTCCTCCTGCTATCCTAGGCACTCACGTTCTGGCACTTCGTACTTCCTCTGTTCCACAGCGTGTTGCCCTGCCATCTCCTCTGGCGTCCTCTCTTCCTGACGTTCCTGACCCAGAGTCCGACCTTACTCGTGCTGCAGTCATACTGTCACTCGTCTCCTTGCTACTATCGTCACTGACCCTGGCTTTGAGTCCACTGCTGCGTTTTCCATAGTCACTGAGCTCGTCGACTTTGCTGCTAGGAGTCGTCTCGACTATGTTGCGAGTCTTGTTACCGAGTTTGAGTCTGTCTTTCCTCCGTCTGTCGGGAGTGAGCCCGCTCTTGGCACTGACGTCCTTGAGGACAGGCAGTTTGAGCTTGAATATCTCGCGACCGCTTTACCTCGTTTTGCATCCATGCTCCTTTGCCCTGAGGGAGACCCGGATGCACTTGACATCCCTACCCCGCGCTCTTACGCTAAGGCGAGCGAGGGTGAGTACTCCTCTCAGTGGCAGACAGCTATGGACGCAAAGATGTTCCTGGAAGTCCGCTGGCACCTTCGTCGACGAGGTTCCTCCTCCGGGGGCGAACATAGTCGAAGGCATGTGGATTTTCAGAGTGAAGCGGCCGCCGGTTTCTCCGCCTACCTTCAAGGCACGTTACGTTGCTCGAGGCTTCAGTCAGCGACAGAGGGTCAACTACTTTCAGACCTTCTCCCCCACCTCGAAGATGACTACTCTTTGAGTGTTGCTGCACGTTGCAGCACAACGTGACTACGAGCTGCACTCCTTCTATTTCTCTACAGCTTTCTTGCATGGCAGCCTTCACGAGGAGATCTGGCTGCGCCGCCCACCTGGCTTCACTTGGTCGTTTCCTACGGGTACCCAGTCGAGCCTCCGCCGGCCAGTCTACGGTCTTCGCCAGGCGCCCCGCGAGTGGTACGGCACACTGAGGACGATATTTGTGGCTCTTGGGTTTGCTCCTACCGCTGCTAACCCGTCACTGTTTCTACGCACCGACACTACCCTTTCGCCGTTCTACGTTCTCGTGTACGTCGACAACTTGATATTTGCTACTGCTCACACTGAGGCGCTGACCCTAGAGAAGGCGGAGCTGCACGAGAGACGCACCTGCATTGACCTGGGGAGCACCTGAAGTGAGGAAGAGCGGGGGGGGGGGGGGGAGAGGGGCATTGCGGTAGGGGAAGAGACGGTAAAAGGGAACCGACTCATCGAACGTGACGTCCTGAGAAGGGAAGACACGGTGCGAGGTGGGGTGGTAAAACTGCCAACGAGGCGCGTCAGGGACAAAGCCAAGGAAGACACAATGAACAGCGAGGGCGGAGAGCTTGTCCGCGGTGGTATCGCGGACAATGGCACGAGCACCCCAGACCCAGAAACGCGACGCATTCCAACCTTCCCTGTCCACAGCAGTGTGGGCGAGGTCTCCGGCAAGGAGACACGGGGCCAGAGGTTGAGCTGATGCGCGGCATACCAGACCGCAAACGGCTACAGAAAATGGGGAGCAGCCGCATGGATCATGGACGTATGAGCGACCTCCATGACTAAGCCAATGCGATGCTCAGCAACCCCATTCTGCTGCGGAGAGGCCGGAAGCGTGAACGTCTGGCGGATACCGTGCTCCGCACGGAAGGCTGCCAAGAGGTCGGAGGAAAACTCCCCACCTCTGTCAGAGTGCAGACGCAGGACGGGAAACTCCGTCCCGAACCGCTCGGGGAGCTAGAGATGAGCAGCGCAGATCCAAGGGATCAAAACATCAGGGACCTCACCCTTGGTGCACAAGGGGAAGACCGTGGTGTAACGCGTGTAGTCGTCGACGACCAGCAGGAAGTACCGCTCGTGGCCCTGTCCACGGACACGGGCTAGGCCCCACACGTCCGTGTGGAGAGTATGCAGGGGAGCCTGTATGGGAGGGAACGAGGAAGAGTGAGGAGCGGCGCGCTGCCGCCCCTCAACACAGGGAAGACGGGGAGGAGCAGGCGAGGGTGAGAGGGGAGGGAGAACCCTGGGAAGACCAGAGACAAGGACACGGCGGTGCATGCTACGAAGGCGCTGCACCGAGGGGTGACCAAGGCGGTGGTGCCAAAGGAGGGTCTGGTGCGACAAAGCGCGACACGAGCAGGGGGCCGCTAGCTAACCTGATGCAGACGCAGATGCAACGACCTGAGGGGACACAGTAGTCGGCGTGTACAATAACGAGCCAGGCGCATGGGTAAACGTGGCCAGGTGCCGGCCCGTCCGGGAGCACCTACAGTGGGTGACGCGCTGACCTCCAGGAGTGAACATGTCAACCCACTGGTCCTGGAGGTCAGCACCACTCACCAAGTTCGTAGAGAACGAGGGGAGGTGAAGACCTGACAGGGAGCCAGACGGGACTGCCGGACACGGCAGGACCGTGGAGGAGTGCGCAAGGAGTGGACTCCCAGAGGGGTCTTCCAGGGAGACTGGAACCGGCCGGCTGGGCGGCGTGAGGGTGGTGCTGTTGCGAAAGAAGGAGCGGGAAGCACCTGAGTCAAGTGTGAAGGTGTACAAGCCCGCAGCAGGCGCAGTACCAGAGAGAGCAGACTCACCAGCACCTGGAGCAGCAGCCTCACCAGCACCCAGAGCATGAGACGCACTAGCACCTAGAGCAGCAGCCTCACCAGCACCGAGAGCAGCATGCTCTATACCTGGGTCAGGGGGAACGCACAGGTAACAGGCACGGTCAGCACTAGTAGGCAATGCATACATGGCAGTGAGAATAGCATCATAGTCAAGAGCATAGATATGTACCCTCTGCCCAAGCAGCTCCACCCAGTCGGGGAGCTCAGCCTCGTCGCCAAACTCGGTACGCCAGGCGCTGCTCAGACGGGCGAAGCAGCGGGACTGGGTGTGACTAAGCATCCCGCAAGTCTGACCCGTCTGATCATCTGTGCGAATGACGTACGG